GAGAGAGAAAGAAAGAGAGAGAGAGAGAGAGAAATAAAGAAAGAAAGGAAGGAGATGATGATGGAAGGAAGGAAGGCGATAGTGGTGAAGGGAAGGAAGGGAGGGAGGAAGGGAGGAAGGGAGGGGGAGAAAGAGAAAGGAAGGAAGGAAGGAAGGAAGGAAGGAAGGAGAAGATGGTGGAGGAAAGAAAGAGAGGGAGGGGGAGAGAGAGAAAGAGAGAAATAAATAAATAAAGGAAGGTAGGAGATGATGATGGAAGGAAGGAAGGAGATGGTGGTGGAAGGAAGGAAGGAAATGATGGTGGAGGGAAGGGAGGAAGGGAGGGAGAGAGAGAAAGAAAGAAAGAAAGAAAGAGAAATAAATAAAGGAAGGAGGAAGGAAGGAAGGAGATGATGGTGGAGGCAGGGAGGGGGAGAGAGGGGGAAGGAAGGAAGGAAGGAAGGAAGGAAGGAAGGAAGGAAGGAAGGAAGGAAGGAAGGAAGGAAGGAAGAGCATACGCTGGATTTCCTTTGGAATCAACCTTAGATATTCCAACTAGTGTTTGGGGCTTCAGCCAAACTTACTTCTAAGTAAGCCTGTGCACAGGATCAGGCTCAAATCCTTACTAACACAGAAGCTTGGGAGGTGCAAGGAAACTCAGTGAACTTACTTGAATGAGCAAGGCTGACCGGATGGGAAGAGACCGCAGGCCTCTGCTCCCCTGGGCTCCAGATTTGGGAAGAAACGAAAATGAATAGTGATGCAGTCTCACAGGTCTACTCAGAAGTAAGCCTTGTTGAGGCCAGTGGGGCGAAATGTGCGTAGGACTGTGGTTGGGTTTTCCTTTCGCAATGTCCTCAAAGCTATCAGTTGGACTTTCTGGTTGAACAAACATGTATTTCTTTGCGCGCGCCCCCCCCAAAAATCCAGGGAGCAGAGAGACCATTGTCCAGCTCGAAGTTTAACCGGCTCCTACTCTCAGACCCAATGGCTGAATGCCAAAAAGAATTGCAGAAGTGTATGAAAGACTTCCCTGGAGATACAGGTGACCAAATTCTGGCTGACACACCTTGAGACCTTCTACCTGCTACCAAAATACACAGACAGGATAAGATAAGTTGATCTAAGCCCAAACTAACCACCTGCCATTTAAACTCTGATTTTCTACAGCACATGGATTTACTCACTGTCTTTTTAGCCGCTGTTTAATTCTGACGGAATTCCTTACTTTGTTGATTTGCTTTCTGCTGCCATAACTTCTTTTTTCCTCTCTTTTGTTTCCTGACTGCTCTGTTGCTCCTAATTGTTTTTGTGGGTTGTGTTTGGTATTTCTGCTGTATGCCACCTGAAATGCACCTGGGGTAGGAAAAAAGCAGGAGATGGTTGTTTTAAAGGAATAAGCAAAGAAATATAGAGAAAGAAAATCAAGGTGACCTTCCTTTCCAATGATGTCAAGCATAAGAAAGAGCATCCTTTTGAAGGATTTATTTCAGAGTTTACTCAGTTAATTGACATAAAGAAAATCAGCATTAAAAAGGGGGTTGAAAATAAAACGGCCAACCTTTTAATGCCATTGTACAAAATGCTGGTAAGGCTGCACCTAGGGTATTGCGAACAGGGCTGGCTGCTGCACCTCAAAAAAAGACATCATGGAACTGGAAAAGGGAGAGAAGAGAGTGACTAAAGTGATGACTGGACTGAGGCACCTCCCTTATGAGGAAAGGCTACAGTGTTTGAGGCTCCATAGTCTGGAGAAATGGCTCCTGAGGGGGGGGCCATGATTGAGACATATAAAATTATGCAGGGGATGGATAAAGGGATAGAGGGAAGCTCTTTTCCCTCACATGCAGTACCAGAAACAGGGGACATCCACTCCAATTGAGTGTTGGGAGAGTGAGAAGAGACATAAGAAAATATTTCTTTACCTGGCATGTTGCTAGTCTGTGGAACTCCCTGACACAGGGTGTGGTGAGGTCATCTGGCCTAGCTGCCTTTAAAAGGGGATTGGACAGATTCCTGGAGGAATAAGTCCATTGCAGGTGGCAAGCTGTGATGGGGATGCATAATTTTCAGGCTTAAAAGAAAGGGACTTCCAAATGCCAGATGCAGGAGAGAGGGATCAGGAGACAGGGATCTAGCCGTCTTGTGTTCTCCCAGAGGCATCTGGTGGGGCCACGGTGAGATACAGGAAGCTGGACTCAATGGACCCTTGGCCTGATCCAATACAGGGCTCTTCTGATGTTTTTAGGTAACCCTTAAGTAAGATCCCAGCGTATTTGTCTCCTTTTGCCATCACAGGTGGCACGTAAATATGAGTATGATACAAGTTGTGTCCTGCTTTGTGGTTTGATGTTAATGTCCTGTGCACAGTTTCCAAGTCCCTCCAACATTAGGTCCCATGGGATTAAAAGGATGCCATAGACATGGTATGCAAGGAAGTAAGAAAGTAGAAGGGCTCTTTTGGCCTAGGTGGAGTTGCTGAGACAATGAATGAGCATGTCAAGGGACTGCCAGGAGAACAAACCTATCCATCCTGAAGGAAATCAACCCTGAGTGCTCACTGGAAGGACAGATCCTGAAGCTGAGGCTCCAATACTTTGGCCATCTCATGAGAAGAGAAGACTCCCTGGAAAAGATCTTGATGTTGGGAACGTGTGAAGGCAAGAGGAGAAGGGGACGACCGAGGATGAGATGGTTGGACAGGGTCACCGAAGCGACCAACATGAATCTGACCCAACTCTGGGAGGCAGTGGAAGACAGGAGGGCCTGGCGTGCTCTGGTCCATGGGGTCACGAAGAGTCGGGCATGACTTAGTGAATAAACAACAACAACAACAACATTTAAAACAGAAAGGTTTTCACAACCCAATCAACGTCACCAACTGCACGCAAGCTGCTGTTAAGCACTAAGTTGAAGGAGTCAGCTGAAACACCGAGATTCTTCTTAATACTGAGTTGCTTCAAACCCCCCTACCTTCAATCATCCTCTCTACCTCTGCTACAGTATCTTCGCTCCACCACCTTCCCTGGTTCGGGTCTTCTAATCTGTAACTTGTCTTCCAACTATCCTAACTGTATCAGAATTAGGTACGAGGCTGAACCACCTAACCTTCTAGGGACCCTGTGGCTTGAAACACTCACCCAACATTGGAAACGGGGACAAACTGCTGAACTGTCAAATAACCTTCCAGATATTTATTTTCTGAAGATCAAGAATTTGGGCTTGATCATATTCACAGGGCTTTGCATAATATTCACAGTTTAAGCAACATCCCCCTCTGCTGGCCACAGAGATGATTGCCCGTTTTGACTGTGAGTCAACCTGGATGGTGGAATCCGATACAACTCTGCATAGCAGTACAGTATTTGATTATGTTTTTTGTAGTCATCAAGCACTAGGACTGCCCTGCACTTTGAACAGCGTTGTGTTATTCTCCTTGCCCTGTTTCAGTTTGATTGCTTCCTGGCTGTGGTCATGCTCCTCTCTCTTTGGGCTTCTTTTTCTACAAAATGTTCTTTTTTAAAAGTTTTGCTTGGGTGGTTCTATACATCCAATTGCTCCATGTTATCTTTCATGCATATTTCACCACCACCCCTGCATTTGTTTTGACATGATCCCCTGTCTTTTCCCTATCTCAGCCTAACTTTATCTTCTCAACAGGGCAAAAGTATGCAGTAGACAATCAGAAAGCCTGGAGGCTGTTTGGAGGTTTGAACCTGAATGATCCCCAGCCTGAATATGAAACTGGAACCTTTGCATGTTCTGCTGCTCAGATCTGAGATAGGTTGCATGACATCTGCTTGAAAGTAAACATGGAAAAAAGGGAAGAGAAACCAATTCAGGTACAGACCGGACCATCTGACTCAAAACAAGGATCGGTCCATTTAATGCACAGAGCCTTACTGATTTAGAATGGTACAGTCCAAGAGCACCTCCACCTGCAGCCATCTCTAGCATAACAGTGGCCAAACCCCCTGCATCTGTTGTGGTACGGTCCTCTTATATTTCACCTGACTTTCTACAGAGAAAACGATTTGTGGAAAGCATCCTCAGCCACCTTCTCCCCCGAGGGTCTGCTAAAGCAATGCATTATCTGTGTATTAGCCCTTGATACATTTGGTTTGATATGATTAGGATTAAATTGCTATGACATCACAAGGCTTGGTAAGGAGTAATTTCAAGTAGCTTCTTGGAAATCAAATCCAGAAGCGTGTCCAGATAAAACAGAAAAGAGACGTCGCTTTCAGCTTTTATGAAACATCACACTTTAAGAAGGGTGCCAACAAGCTGGAGCAGGTTCAGAGCAGGGCAAAAAAGGAGGATCAGGGGACTGGATGCCAAGCCCTGTGAGGAAAGATTGAAAGAACTGGGCAGGTTTAGCCTTGAGAAAAGAAGACAGAGGGGAGAGAGGATAGTATTTTTCAAATTCCTAAAAGGCTATCATTCAAAGGAGGGGCAGGATCTGTTCTCAATCATCCCAAAGTGCAGGACACATAATAAAGCAGCTCAAGCTAGAGGAAGCCAGATTTACGCTGAATATCAGGAAAAACTTCCTAACTGTTAGAGCAGTATGACAACGGGACCCATGACCTCAGGGGGTGGTGAGAGCTGCAATGCCATAGGAATTCAAGAGAAAATAGGACCACCCTCTGTCAGATCTGCTTTGATTTGGATTCCTGCCTTGGAATTGGGGTTGGACTCGATGGGCTTCTAGGCCACTCCCAGCTCCCTTATTCTATGATTTGCTTCGAAAGGTCCTAAAAACATCCTGAAACTCTGTCCAGGAACCATTTCACACATTATCAGCCTGCGTTTCTCACCAAGAAGGCCCCAAACTGCTAAATTTTAAACATGTTGGTCTCATCCACATATTAAACTTATGATTCTGAGATGCTATTAAGGGCAGCCCCACCCACCCACTTTTTTTTAAAAGATGCTTTCTTAACACCTACACCTGTTTCCGGATTTCTACTTGTGATGGCACTGGGCTAAGCAATAAAGATTTTGATTGGTTGGTTTATTGTTTTACAGCAATGTCAGTAACATGGCTACAATCAGATATATACACAGTGATGTGTAAGATGTTTATCATATTAGGTCATTTCCAATAAGGAGTCCCATACCAGCCAACGGCTACCTTGTTCACACAGGGAGATCACGGCTAAATCTGTACAGTCCTTAGAGCATTGATCCGTGGATGTTTGTTCATTACCCTTTAAATTTTTAGAGTCAGCTCTATTGCTTGTATATGTTTCCAGATAAACTCCAGTGCTTGCCAGTCACCTACAGAACCTTTGCATCCTGCCCTCTTTCTACTTTATTTAAAGAACAGCCCCACATCAGAACAAGTTAATGTACGATTGATTTGGACTGGCCAGAATTAACTCATTTAAACTCAGACCCATTTTGGATCAAGAACACGTTGGGAGCATGAGAAAGCTCAAAGAACTTCATTTCTTCTGTCCTCCCCTTGGTACCCCCACCCCCACCCCCACAAAAATAGGTAAAGGTAAAGGTTCCCCTTGACCTTTAGTCCAGTCGTGTTCGACTCTAGGGTGCGGTGCTCATTCCCCATTTCCAAGCCGTAGAGCCAGCATTTGTCCATAGACAGTTTCCGTGATCATGTGGCCAGTGCAACTAGACACGGAACATCCTTACCTTCCCACTGAGGTGGCACCTATTTATCTACTTGCATTTTTACATGCTTTTGAACTGCTAGGTTGGCAGGAGCTGGGACAAGTGACGGGCGCTCACTCCGTCGCGTGGATTCGATCTTACGACTGCTTGGTCTTCTGACCTTGCAGCACAGAGGCTTCTGTAGTTTAACCCGCAGCGCCACCATGTCCACAAAAATACTCCTTCCCAAATTTACCTGTGGGGAAGAAACTGATAGATGAGACATATTTTTTTTTCAACAGACCCATCAGTCTCAATGCCTGTACGGGCATCTACTGCATGAGAACATATGAGATACACAGTTTTCGGTGTTTTTTTGTGGCTCAGTTTATTGAGCTGTTTCCCATGCCTTCTGGTGGCCATGCATGTTCCCATTGTGGGCATTTAAGTTCTACCTTAGGCTCCCGAGTCCCCATCCTCTATCCAGAAGTTGAGCTAACTTGATCAAAAAGACTTTAAGAAGATTCCCAGAGAGCTATTATGAGAAGTGCAGGAAGTGAGTGAGCGTGAGAGGAAGTTAAATGCTTGACAGGAATTTTAGATTGACCTGCTGACTCAGTCTTCTGTGAACTGTCCAAGAACTGGCCTTCTTGTCTCATGGGGCACTGCGAGCCAATATCTGTGTTGATGATGTAAGCTCAACCCTGCCACAAGCAAGTGAAGAACGGCCCGATCACCACAGAGACGGTATCTGAATCTAAGAAGATGATTCTGATAGAATGGTTGATATGACCTTTCACAGATCTCTTATCTGCATGGGTGGGGGGGGAGGGAAGAGACCTTTCTAAGGCTGTATGATCAAAAAATGGTCATATTTTTTCAGGGTCTCCTCAGATTTTCTTTTCAGTTTTTTGCTTAATAAGACAGCTGTTGCTTTGTGATTCTGTTGCACGGCATCTTCATTTTAATGTGACCTAAATGACAGACAGACAGACATCTACGTATCAGATCCCTTGTTTGTTGTCTGGACCTAGCCGATCATTCTTGGATTTATTGCTTTTAGAAGACTCAGCTGTTTCCCCTTCTGAGCCACCATTAAGAGAGCCGGTAACACTGTGGTAAGAAGGAGGAATGGATTCTAAGGATGCTGTACTGGATTTGTTGGGGTGTTCAATATACTTGTCATTCATGAAAATGGCAATAAGGCCTTCTTTTTCTGGAGCATCTTCTTCAAGAATATCCCCATCGCTGGTTTTGTGGCGGTGTAAGAAAGAGGCCTGCTTCATGGAGCGTTGAAGCAAATGACTCCGAAAGGCCCTCTGGATATAAGTAGCCGCTGCCTCCTCGTGCTTCCGTTTAAGGGTGGTGTTGATTGGTTCATATGAAGCCTTGGACGGGTTGGCGGCCATAAATTTTTCCTCCATTTGTACCTTAAGCATATCCATATCTCCAGAGTCCCCAAGCACCCTCTTGGTGAAAGCAAAGAGAATATCCAGGCAGTGGATCCTGTCCCCACTCACCAAGGGAAGATCCATGGCTGTAATTTCAAGTATGTTTGGCTTAGGTATGCGTAAGGGCTCCGCTAGAGCATTTGCAAAGTCAGAAAGCTTAGAGTGCGCGATGAACTGGGTTGCTAGAGGATCAAACTTCTCCCAGACTTCATAGAACATTTCAAAATCATCATCACCTAAAGGTTCAGTGCTCTCTTCCGTGGCAACGTTGAAATTCTCCAAAATGACTGCAATGTACATGTTCACAACGATGAGAAAGGATATAATGATGTAAGTAACAAAGAAGATCATGCCTATTGCAGGGTTCCCGCAGTTCCCCTTAGAGAAAGTTGATGGGACACGAAGGTTTGGGTCACAGAATGGTGGCCCGGTATTTAAAATGGGGCTGAGGAGGCCATCCCAGCCAGCTGACGTGGTGATTTCGAAGAGGCAGAGCATGCTGTTGCCAAAGGTCTCAAAGTTGAACATGTCGTCAATCCCGGCTTCCTTTATGACATAGGCGAAGTTGGCCATTCCAAAAATGGCATAGATAAACATGACCAGGAAAAGCAAGAGGCCGATGTTGAACAAAGCAGGGAGAGACATCATCAAGGCAAAAAGCAGAGTCCGGATTCCTCTCGCAGATCGGATGAGCCTGAGTATTCGCCCGATCCTTACCAAGCGGATCATCCGGAAGAGGGTAGGTGAGAAAAAAACCACAATGCCAGACAGCACATTGCCTGAAGAGGAAAAAGCAGCAATGAAAATCTGGGGATTTTGTCAGGGTATTCCTCAACAAGCCTTTGTTCCTTACTGCTTGTTATGAAAGAAATCAAATTATTTCTGCCATTGTACGTCTGCCAAGACATGGTTGTGGAAACTATCTTTTCCTAACAAATTTAAATACAGCTTTTAAAAAGAGGGACAATGATTCTAGGCTGTCATGTGTTGCGTAATTATTTTTCAAAATAATGTTTAAACATGACATTCCAGTCATGTTTAAACACTAGTAAAGACCCATTTCTGAGAGTTTTTCTAGGCTAGCCTTTCTGGAGGCCCTTGTGAGGAGAGAGAACCTTCATACCAAAGTACTCAGACACCCCAAATCTATCATCTGGTGCATTTTTATCCATGGCTGTTGTTTGCACCAATCCATGCAGTCTTATTTCCTTTGACTTGTGCTTAGACTCCTTGTCTGCTTAGCTTGATGCCCCCTTTGGGCAAAGGAGAGGATCCAGTTTCCAGCACCTGGCCTTTTGGTTTCCCAGACCAAATCACCCGTCTTGCCTCCTGGCCTTTTCTCACAGGAGTGTGATCAACCCACCAGTGAGTGGGAGGCAACACACTTTTCTATTCCAGCCCCATCAATTCTAACACCACTGAAGAAAAGAAGATTGAGGGAAGACATGACAGCACTCTTCAAATACTTCATAGGTTGTCATACAGAGGAGGGGCAGGATCTGTTCTCGATCAACGCAGTGGGCTCAAGATACAGGAAACCAGATTTTGGTTGAATATCAGGAATTTTTTTCTACCTGTTAGAACAGTATGACAATGGACCTAATTTTCTCAGGAGGTGGTGAGCTCTCCAACATTGGAAGCATTCAAGAGAAAGCTAGACAGCCATCTGTCAGATGTAATCTTGCATTGAGCAGGAGGTTGGATGTAATGGCTTCATAGACCCCCTTCCAACTCCATTATTCTATGGTTCTATGGTCATAATCATAGTTGACCTGAGCAGAAAGTCAATGCAAGCCAAAATTTTGGAATGCAGTCCCCCCCCGCAACTTAGATCACAAGCTGCCTTGATGACAAAGTATGTAGTATTTCCATAAAACTCATAATAATGCAGCTACAGGTGCCATTGATTTCTATTAAGAAGGAATCAAAATGTAACTTTAAATGTTTAACTCTGGCTGGCTTCCCAGAAAACAAAGTAAGGAGATTGTCCCACGGCTACTTACCAACAATGGACATGATCACAACAACCAGATCAAAAACGTTCCATCCATTGGTGAAGTAATAGTATCTCAAAGCCACCATCTTGAGGACACACTCAATAGTGAAGAGGGTGATGAAGAGGATATTGATTTTGTTAAGAACGCTTGTCTTCTCCGGGGATTGGTCATCTGTCTCCACCATCATAGCAATCATATTAAGACAGATGAGGATCATGACAACAATATCAAAAGCCTGGTGAGTTACTAAATCAAATATGAATCCTTGATATTTATTCTGGAAGGAAAAGGGGAAGGGGATTTGATATAAATCCAGTGTATTAGAAGAGTTAGTTACACTACACAGTCTCTTTCCATAATAAATTCCAGTTAATGAGTTAAAATTTACTGGGATATGACAGTGGCAGACCTGTGAGTTGTAAAACCAGATCTGTACCATCACATAGAAGAGAGTGGGCAGGTCTTAAAAGGGTTTGTGGGTAAAGGAGACAACCCCTTAAACTCATCTCTACAAGGTCACCTGTTGGCAAAGCTGCAGTATTTGCACTTAAATATGAGATCCTTTATTACTGCCGTCTATATGATTGTAGCGGAATGTTTAAACAGTTATTTTTAATTTAATTGTTTGACAGCTCACCTGTTGTATGAGAGATAATAATAGGATAAAATCTTGAACTGACTGACAGCCCTTAAAATGAATTTAATTGCAATATGAAAGGCAATAGTTCTTTTTAGAAGATTGTTCCAGATCAACCTATGTTCCCGTCTTGGAGAGTCTCACTAACACTAAAATAATTAATCCAGAATTTGGACAAATTAGATGCAAACGTTGGAATTGTTGGTAGTGTAGTAATACAGTGGTACCTCGATTTACGATCTTAATCCGTATTGGAACAGCATTCATACGATGGACAAATTAGATGCAAACGTCGGAATCGTTGGTGGTACCTCGATTTACAGTCTTAATCCGTATTGGAACAGCATTCGTACGTCGAAAAGTTCGTAAGTCGAGGCAAACTTTTCCATAGGAATGCATTGAAAACCATTTAATCCACACCTGCTGTTTTTTGTTCATATGTCGAACCGCTGTCCGTAGGTAGAGGCATTAGTTCCCATAGGAAGTTAATCCATACTCTACCACTAGAGGGAGAATTTTTCATTTTTTAAAAAAGTTTTTTTCGGGTTTTTTGTTCATAAGTCGAGGCTCCATTAGCAACCTTTTGCGAATGGAGCCGTTCATAAGTCCAATCATTCGCAAGTGGAGATTTTCGTAAGCCGAGGTACCACTGCACAGGATTGTGCCGTTGGAAAGCATATTCTCTGTGAAGGTATCCCAACCGTCCTCCACTAGGCTAATGCAACTAATCTTCCAAAGACTAATATTCTGTTACCCTTCTTGCTGCAATTATATTAATTCTAAGTTACGGATTTTATCTGATAAATCATCTCTCACGCAACATAATGAATGATCAAATCCATTAAATTAAGAGCAAGTTCATACCTGGTGAATGATGGGTGGAACTTTCCCCAAGCCAAATATGCTTGGAAAGAACATAGATTTAGATTTCCACGGGAGACCCTAACTGGATAGGCCTCCGGGCTGTATTGGGTGGTCACTCTGAACAAATTGGGCTCTTGAGTCCAAACTCATACTACCAAGAATCATACGACTCCAGTTCATACTACATTATTGATAGTATAAGCACCAGTGAAGATTGACCCACACTAATCAATCAGTATTTGCTGGTTGATTAAATCAATGGACATTTGTAGTGTTATTGAATTGTATAGTGCTATTCTGTTGTGAATATTTCACTTTGAAGAACTGTTAGGGAGTAATCACTCACCAGTGGTCTTGGGATGGGTTTTTGAGGTTTCTTGGAACCCAGTTTTTTCATAGCATTATAGTATTTTTTCTGTTCTTCTGTCATGAAGATGTCCTCTCCGCCTAAGTACAAGGAAATAATGCACTTAATATTATTGGGTGCAGGTTATAAGTTGTTTTAAGGCACTTCTCCAAGTTTAATTAAAAGCTCCATTTCTTTTCATTTGGATTTCTTTTTCTTGTCTTTTTGTTCATTTTGTCCTTTTTCTGCAGAGAACTTATTTCACAAAGCCAAGACAACAGAACGGATGCTGATTGGTGTAAAAGAAGAAATCGAGATCCACAAAAAACGTACAATAGCCAGGACAAATCACAATCTCTTGACTGCTGTTGCCCAGTCTATGAAATTTATATCACACAGCCCAAGGCTGGAAGAAATGTGCTCATTGTTTTATGCATGTTCCATACCTGGCTGATATCATCATCCTACTCTACACTGCACAAAACTGAAATCTAATATGCATGCTCATAGCATACCTTTTTTCCCATGTATAAGATGATACTTTTATCTAAAATATTTAGACTAAAAATTTAGGGTCGTCTTATACACTGAAGTAATGGGGAAGGATCCTGCAGCCCTTTGATCGCTACTTTCCATGGGGCTTAGGAAGTGGCAGGGTAAAGCAGCGATGAAAGGGCCGCAGAAGCCCTTTACCCCTCCACTTCATAAAGCATTGCTGCTTTATCCCTACACTTCCTAAGATCGCTGCTTTCCCCCTCCACTTCTGCAGCCCTTTGATCCTGTTTTCATGGGGCTTCGGAAGTGGAGGGGGAAAGCAGCGTTCAAATGTTCTTATTTGGGGTTGGAAAAGTTGGGGTCGTCATCTTATACATCGAGTCGTCTTATACATGGAAAAATATGGTACTTGTCTCTCTTACAGTGACTTGTAAATGGGGGAGGAAACAGAAACACTGTCGAGATACTTATCTTTTTCTTTTGTTGATTAAAATTATCAATGATGACACCGACAAAAAGATTTAGAGTGAAGAAAGATCCAAAGATAATAAAAATCACAAAATAGAGGTACATATATTTGTTGTTCTCCCATTTGGGCTGCTCTTCTATCTGCAAAAAATACAAAGCCGGATTGAAAACAAAAGTAGGGGGTGAAGAGCAGATAAGCAAACAGGCTGCCTAAACACAGAATTTTGCCATTTTCAGTAGCAGTTACACAGTTTGTCTAATATTGCATTTTAACCTGAATATACCCTCTCATACTACTAATTCAAAACTATGTGGGAGAAAGTCTAAAGAGAAGAATGAAACAGTGACTTACATCTACTGAATCTACTGCGGCATACATTATATCCATCCAACCTTTGAACGTGGCCTGGAGAAAAAGAAACTAAAATAAATATAATAACGGCACGTCATAAGGATTACTGAAGAAAAGGAGGGAAAGAAAATAGGAGTTATCTGGATTCTTTATATTCACTTTATATGGCTGCTTACTGTTTTGCAGGAATGGATGGGTTCACTCTTTTTTCCCAGTGACCACACCATGTCATCGCTAGAGTGGACCGATTTGTCCCAATTTGCCCTCAGAGCACCCCAACTCACACCTTTTTAAGGTCCCTGTCAGGGACTACTATTTTTTTTTTGGTCACAGGTTGTCTCATTTAGTCTATTCCCAATGTGCGCAATCACTGGGAACAGACGCAGATCGAGCCTTGCAGCTCTCAAAGCTGTTAAGGTTCCTTCCGGTTTGAATTTCTGGTATCATGAAGTGGCTCAATGCACAAGGTCCTTCAGGATACAGTGGTGCCTCGCTAGACGACTGTTAAGTTTCCTTCCGGTTTGAATTTCCGGTATCATGAAGTGGCTCAATACACAAGATACTTCAGGATATCAGCAAACTGAACACTTCCCTTCAGCAAAGCGGCAGGGGAAGTGAAATTATTTTTTTTTAAAATTGCATCTGCTACATCATTGTTGATGTGCTGAATCACTTAGATTAATTTATATATAGTTTGAACACTTCCCTTGCTCTTCAGCAGAGGGGCAGGGGAAGTGAATTTTTTTTGTAAAAAATTGCATCTGCTAGACCATTGTTGATGTGCTGAATCACTTAGATTAATTTATATATAGTGTGTGGCACTACACACAATGGAAAGAAAATATTTTTTCCAATACACTCTAAGCAATTCAGCACATCAGCAATGATCTAGCACACACATTTTTTTAAAAAATCACTTTTCCTGCCACTCCACGAGAAGCAGGGGAAGTATTCAACTGACGGTGGAAGGAGCTGGAGGGCTGCTTGAGGTCAAAATGCCATCTGGACATGAGGATCATGCCAAATGGAATATCATTCCTTCCCTGCATCCACAAGCGACTCTATTTAAACTGCACCAGCCAACACCAAAAAGCCATAGTAGATGTGCCCAAAGTGTTCAAGTCCTGGATATCTGCATTTCTGAAGAGAAAGTAATTAAATGAGAGATCAGTTGAAATGAGAATAATTTCATTTCCTGAATAGAGTTTCAGCCTCGATTCCTCGTATTTCCAGTTAAACAATCTTAAGAAGCAGTACTTGCTAAGCCACAAGCACACACTACTGTGACATTTTTTGCTTATGCATTAGTTAAAGTTCTGAATAGAGTTTCAGCCTCGATTCCTGGTATTTCCAGTTAAACAATCTTAAGAAGCAGTACTTGCTAAGCCACAAGCACACACTACTGTGACATTTTTTGCTTATGCATTAGTTAAAGGTAAAGGTTCCCCTTGACATTTAGTCCAGTTGTGTCTGACTCTACGGGGTGGTGCTCATCCCCGTTTCCAACCCGCACAGCCAGCATTTGTCCATAGACAGTTTCTGTGGTCACGTGGCCAGCGTGACTAGACACAGAACGCCATTACCTTCCCACCGTGGTGGTGCCTATTTTGCATGGTTTCGAACTGCTAGGTTGGCAGGAGCTGGGACAAGCGACGGGAGCTCCTTCCGTCGCGTGGAATTGAACTGCTGACCTTTTTACCTTGCAGTCCAGAAGCTTTGCGGTTTAACCCGCATCACCACCACGTCCCAATGTATTAGACTAGAAGAAAAAAAAAACCAACACAAAAAGTGTTTTCTCTTTTAGCACCTGCATTTGCACAAAAAGTTGTCCTTTTTTTAAAGAAAGTTGCACATTTTTATATATATATAAAAACCTAATGAAACTTTCCTAAATCACACAAAAGCTCTTCTATTCAAATTTAGTGGGGTGAAAACCATATAAGCTTTTCAATTCTCGGCTCCAAGGATGAGATAAGCAAAGCTTTACTCAACATGACTAAGGATTCCTAAAAATATTGACCTGAAAGACTCTGTGAGGTAAGCCAAATGAAAATATTATAGCTACAACATCTCAAGACCTGAGAAAGAAACGCCTGAGAGACTCTGTGAGGTAAGCCAACTGAAAATATTATTATTTATTTAATTTATATGCCGCCCACACTACCCAAAGGTCTCTGGGCGGCTTACAGCATTTAAAATACAATAAAGATATGTACAATTAAAATACAATTAATATATATATAAAATTGCCATCGGACCCACAGCTAATATTATTTCAGTTAAAAGCCTTCTGGAACAGGAAGGTTTTGACCTGGCGCCGAAATGTCATCAGTGTCGGCGCCAGACGAATCTCAGTTGGGAGGGCATTCCATAGTCTGGGGGCAGCTGCCGAAAAGGCCCTTTGTCTACAAACCATCCCTCTTACCTCCTTGAGGGATGGCTCTTTCAAAAGGGCCCCCTGGCTAGATCTTAACTGCCGGGTAGGCTCATAGCTACAACATCTCAAGACCTGAGAAAGAAACAGCGTGACTTTTACAATCTTGATTCATCTAACCTTTATGGAAGTGCCATAACTTCTTCAAGTTACTCCCTTGTGGAAGTTACTCTACCATAAGAAAGAAGGGTAACCAGAACATTTGTTCCTCTATTTCTGTCAGATGAAAGAAACAGCTAAGTCAACGGGGAAAGAGAGAAGGGAGGCCACAGAACAGGAAAGAGGAGGTGAATTACGTGCATAAACCTACCACTTGAAGTAGCGCCAGATAACCAGCACCGACATTATCGAAATTCACTTTAACGTTTACCCAGTATAATCTACTGTTATTGTACACCGCACAGTCTGACATGTTCTTCACAATTTCACTTGTCTCAGAGCTTGATGTCGTCAGGTTAATGCATTTTCCAAACTTTCCCGCAAACAAGCCAACTCCCATAATGCTGAAGATGAGCCAAAAAATGAGGCAGACGAGAAGAACATTCATGATAGAAGGGATGGCCCCTATCAAGGCATTGACCACCACCTTGGGTGGGGAAGAGGTAAGGGGAGGGGGGGATGAAAGCAATTTAAAAGAATTGAAATGAAAGAGAGAAAGAAAACAGAAAAATAATGAGCAAAAGGACATTACAAAACCTGCCGACTAATTCAATAATTCTTAGTTGATTATCATCAACTAAGTCCAATTCATTTCAGTTTAAACACGCTACAAATATGAAATAGAATATACATGGTTAGATGTTATGGATTTATCATATTATCTATTTGTCTAATTTGTGTGAATGGTATATCAAATATATATATATATATTCCAGCCTAGCAAATTACACATTCCAGCAACACCACTAGTTTCAGAGTTTTTTCCCCCTCTTATTAGCTGAGGTCAAGCCATGCTCTTTAAACAGCCTAATCTGGGGTCCTCCTGAAATAGTCTTATTATCTGTGCTACTTTAAAATAATTGGTTTGAAGACTGCAGTCTTTAAACTGTATCTGCTTCACCAGCTACTCTGACAAATTTGATGCTCTCTGCAACAGCTTTAATCCTCTGCTCTGTTCAGACATAAGTTGCTTCAGCTCCATTGATATTGGATCCATGGGTACACTCTCTTGTCCATCCTGTCACAGAAACCTTTGAACCCATTCCCTATAGATTATACATGAGAGGACTCTGACATTTGGGTTTTCAAGGAACAAGAACAGAAACAAACAGGAACTAGATAATACATTTTCAATTACACAGATTGTACAGTATAGCTTACATTACATCCATCCCATTTAAGGATAGCTGTCCCTATTTCATATTCCCAATATGAATATGTATTATTCTATTTTACCGTCTCCACATAATACATAGATGTTTCAGATTCGAATTGAATATTCATGGATTCAGCATGTATACCAAATGTTCCTATTCATGGGGAAGCTATTCTAGATGAGCAGAATTTGCTTTCATCCAAACAAAGAATGTCCGTGGGAGGGACTTCTGTAACAAGCTTAATGGTCCTGCTCCTTGTTATCTCAGTTTGGTCCACAGCTAATAAACCTCAACAAGATTTTGTGAATTGCGAATCAACAAGATTTTTGTGAATCGTGATGGTGCAAGTCATATAGAGGCTCTCGTATACACGATGGAACTAAATGGTTAAGTGCCTTAGAGATTTAAAAAAAATAGCCCATTTAATTGTTCACAGGCAATACTAAGGAGTCATTACACATAATAGAGCTTAATTGCAAGAATTTGGTGCCAAATTTAGAGAAGACAATATGAAAACCCTTTTAATGCATGGGCTTGCTTGAATGCCTTCTGAATTACACTCATAGGTGGCTAACCCTCTTTTCCTGGAGTTAATAGAACTTACCTTGAAATTGGCATTAATAAGGCAGTATGAATATTGATCCTTTAAATCCTAACCCAGCAGTCTCCATACAATGACATTCCACAAGTTTTGTTGATAAGTACTCTTGTCATGTCTGAGAGTAACAAAGCCTCCTCAATGGCCCAAGCGCAAGGCCATCATAAAGTCTCTGATTTACCTTCTGCGAATCTGTGCTCTGATCCTTATTCCCTTTTACCACATCCCACAAGCCTCACCACAACAGAAGCAACTTAAAGATCAATACCTTTTCAGAGAGCTAATATTCACTGCGAGCTTTCTTACCCTCATCCCTTCAAATCGTGACAGGGCCCGTAATGGCCTCAAAGCTCGTAGGGTTCGGAGAGATTTCATGGGGCCTATGTCAGATATCCCAACAAGACTTACTACCAGTGTGATTAAAGAGACCTGGAGAAAGAATTTGGAATATAAAATATATGAGTAGGGTTTTGTTATGCATCATACACACAGGTTTATACAGAGAGAGATAGAAAGAGATGTAAGCGTAGATGTAAGGCTGACACAACTCTGTGGGAACAGCTGGTTTGGGGAGCCCCATGCCAGGAGTTTTAAGGCCCACGGTGCCTCCCAGAGAAGAACCAGCCAAGATGACCCGGTGTGTGCGCGTCTGTCTTATGAGATTACACACTCTACCACTTGTGTGGCCTTATATGAGCTGTACAGGCCCAGAGCACCAATAGTAGAGGGAATGAGAAATCATTCTGAATACCTTACCACTAGAAAGTCCCGAGAAGATCACTATAACTCGGAATCAACTTGATGGCACTTAATTTCAATTATAGGCTGAAATCCATAATAGGGCCAGCAGTAGCCAACTTCCAGAAGCCTGGGCACCTCATTAATCTTTCCTGGATGGGTGTAATTGAGCATTTTGAGTTCGTTCCCCCTTCCCCCAAATTGCAACTCAAGGGCCATACTTTGAGCAGTTGGATGCAAAAGACAATATGATAACCCTTTTAATGCATTGGCTTGCTTGAATGCCTTCTGAATTAGTAAGAATTAAAGAAGTAAACTTAAGACATGGCTATTTGGGCAGGCTTTCCCTCCTGCTGTATCTTAATATTTCCATTTTAACAACTTGCATTTTTGCATCTCTATTGGTTCTATTGTTTTTAAATTTTGTGAGAGTAGACCATTGGTCTAGATGGGCAGAGTATAAATCTAATACAGTGGTGCCTCGCAAGACGAGCAATCCATTTTACAACAAAATCACATGACGACGAAGTTTTTGCGATCGCAAAAGCGATTGCAAAACAATGTTTCCTATGGGGGAATTTCGCTTTGCGATGATCGGTTCCCTGCT